TAACATGTAAATTGTTACAGTACATCATCTCAGAAATACAGACAAATGAAAGTCTGAATAGAGATATTGATACATACATGAACACATATTTCTATATAATGAATATATTCGAGAATTTGAATGCTCTTTGCTGAACGTATTTAATTGAAGACTGAAATCAACTCTGAAGAACGTAATTGTATAAATATTAAAAACACCAATGAAATAATGTTTAAAATCATTACTGTACCAACGAAATAATGTTTAAAATCTCTACTGTACCAATGAAATAATGGTTAAAATAATTACTGACTAACGAGATAATGTTTAAAATATTTACTGTACCAACGAGATAATGTTCAAAATATTTACTGTACTAATGAGATAATGTTTAAAATCTTTACTTTACCAATGAGATAATGTTTAAGATCTTTACTGTACCAACGAAATAAAGTTTAAATCTTTTACTGTACCACGTTTATCATTAAATTATGTATTTATATATTTACTATTTGCTGTAGATAAGCGGAACAGTTAAAAGAGTCGAAAAGAGAATCAGTTATCCAAGTTCTATTCCTAGTCAAGTTAGCTGTGTTCACTAATATCATTTGGAAAGGTAAGAATCCGTCTCATCTCCTCTTAGCTATCTGGTAAACAGCAAAGTAAACCTTGGGCTGCAACCAGTCTTAGAGAAAAGAAACCCTGAGTACAAAACTGTGTAAAAAGCAAAAACAACAATCCATCATCTTTCCCAACAATGGATGGCAACTCAGAAATAATTAAAGAAAATGGAAACTGTGGGAAGGAACATGGTATTTTAAAAAAGAATTTAACCGGTGTTGTTAAAAAGAACGACGGCAGTTGTTAAGTAATTTTGAAGTTGTATTTATATAAAAAAAAAAAAAATTATGTTACTCAGCGTCTTCTGGTTTCTTTCTTGAGAATTTCATGAATCTGAAGTTAACATAAAAATTAGATTAAGTAAAGACAACAATTGAGCCTACAATTTCATCCTATTATAAGAAAGGAAAATATATAACTGAAAACAATCTTTAACATATATGTGAATCTAAATATTTTACTTTAAAAATTTATTTATCTACAGAGCGACAGTCTCAAAAAACCATTAACACAATATTTCTAGTATTTTTTATACTAGTAATTAACAACATATTGTGCGTTACCCATTAGCTTGATTCTAAAATCAGTACGACTCATACAACAATCGCTACCACTTGACTTAAAAATATTTTTGACCTTCCGCTTGCCTTTTTAAAAAGGGAATGCCACTTTGCCGTGCTGATGTTACTACAGCCTTACTTCTTGCCCTATCTCACCTGCAGAATTTTTCTAAGCTCTATTAAACATTAAATCTGTTACGAAGAAAGAACTAAACAAAATGATCACCAAAACGACCAGCTTTAAAAAAGGACTCGTAACTGGAAAAACCGATGAAAAAGAATGTTAACAACAAATACTTTTGCACACCCCAGTTCTGCGGAATCAGAATCAACGTTGAGTTTAAGCAAGCGAATGAGCCAATTGGAGTAAAGTGCCATGCGGATTTAATTTTTTCCACGGTGACGAATGCAGCTATCCGATTTTTTGCATTCTAGCATTAACAGATTAACATTCATGTCAGTCAACTGTTGGCTCTCACGCTGGCCAATAGGAATCTTCCTGCGTATTCGTGGCAGCCAGCTATTGGCTCTCAATCTGGCCAGTAGAAAATGGCCGCAAACTACATGAAAACTGCCGTAGAAGCATGAAAAAATCGATTATTTCCACTATCGATGGGAGTTGGGAAATGCAAAGTCGGTCTTGGCCTTCCGGCTAACTTGGAGCATGTGCATGTAAATTTTGGTGCAAATCCGTCGAAAATTGCGGCCGTGAATTCGTTACGCACACACACACATCCTGCCTTTTATAGATGGAGATATTGTTAATGGAATGGTAGCATTTTTACTACGTCTCCAAAAGAGTCCATTACTGAGACAAAAAAAACGTCAATTTGTATATTCATATGGAGGAGGAACTTCTGGTGACATCTGCATAGCTCTAAATCTAGGTGTATATATAACCACGGATGTTTATCTGGCGGTATCTTATCTCATAATATCTAAGAAAAACCAAAATGAATAGGTGTTGCTGTTGTGAACCAGGATAACAAAATATGTTAGATTATAGATGCGGTTCTGATAGCAGATCAGACGATGAAAAGAGAAAAATCAATAGAAAAAATACCAGGAATTCGCCCGGGGGACCGAGAAAGCTGGTACTGCGAACATTAGGGTTACACCTATAGTAAGTGGTACACTGAGAACTGTGAAAGTGATCATAGAAAAAAGAAATTAAAGAAAAACTGAGACATATGAACACTAACATCAATGAAATATACACGAGAATGAGCCGATGAAAGCATAACATGCAATTTAATAGCTGATGTATAATTCAAAATCATTCCACTCACAAACTTTTTGATTAAACTAGATAGATAATGAAATATGTAAAATTTGTAAAG